TTATAGTAATATGTATTTACTAAATCCCAGTAATTCTGGAAAAATTACTGTAAAAATTACGGAGCAAAATTCCAAGGTAAAAATGGGTTTTATGGTAAAAAATATGACTACACTGAGAACCGGTATTTCTTACAGTAGTTTTTCCCGAATTTTTTCGAAAGCATAACGAATCGAAAATAATAGAATATTTAATAACGTGCAACCTCCTATTTTGTTTAAATAGCAGACAATAATGCAACGTGCAAGAAATTCTTGATTTGTAAACTAACAGACAGCACTGATGTTGCAATAACATAATATTTGCAATAATCTGTTATTACGAAACATTTGTAATAGCATAATAGTTTATATTTTACTTTAAAAAATGGCTAACGCTAAGCCAATGTGAAAAGTTTATTTTTCAAATTCTCCTGAACGGACAAAGTGAAAAGAAAAATTTAAAACGATTTATTGGATATGGGGCTAAAATTACCACTTGTACCTACTTTCTGAATTTCAGTACGCTAGCTTAAACGGTTCTGGACTTACAAGACACACACACACACTCTCAATTTTATTGTTATAAATACAATGTAAATACTGTTGTGTACTATTTCCTCGAATTTGATTATATACAAATTGGAAGACATAAAAACACTTTCTTTCAAGTTAATTCCAAATCGAGTAAAGTTCCAGAGTTAAGTTCCAAATCGAGCCTTTATATATACAATTTAAAGGAAGTAGTTGAATATAAAACACTTATAGTGGAAAATATTTACAGCAAGTTACGCGCATGCGCACCATGCGTTAAATGTTTCCGCTTATGAAAACACCAACTTTTTATATCGTCAGTAGAATGCATCGTCTATATATCTGCAGAAAAAAACATTTCGTCTTCACAAAATGTATGCATGTTTTTAGTTGTGTAATAATGATATTTATACTTTAATTTTTTAGTCCGTAAACTGCATTAAATAATTTTATAATGTATAATTTTTATCTGCTTCTGCTCTGTTAAACCTAGTTCGAATTCGTCTTTATAATCTCTTTCTGTACTACGCGTACGTTTGATGTACGAACAAATTTCATTTTAAGAATTAGTGCATAAATGCATCCAAAAGTAATGATTCTTATTTTATATTGTCTCTTAAATACTTTACTAGCTCTAATGCGAATCTTAACTTACTCTTATTGTAAATATTAGTGTAAATGAATACCAAAATAAAGTTTGCGGGCTACTTTACACCAAGTAGTATAAAGCATTACCAGTGTTTCAAAACAGCACTTTTGTTGTAAGTAGTTGGGGATACCGTTTTACACAAAATTTATTTTGAAACTAAACACAAGCAAGTGTAAGTATAAGAAGTAAGCATAATTTAATCACATCTTAAATACATTTGTTTATGAGAAAATTGTAAATATTTTACTACCTTATGTACTAAATGTATTTACTACCTCATTGTAAATTTAGTTTTTTAAAAAAAAAGCAAGCACGAAAAAGAAACTAAAGTAAATTAAATTAATGATTTTTAAGTAAAAATGGAATTTTATGAAAATTAATTTTTTATATAATTAATATGGTTATAATTTTTAAAGAATAATACCTGAACACAACAAAAAAATAACGTCTTTTACACTCTCAGAATATTTTTTTCTAATTTAACTTAACATTATTTTTATCATTTGTAATGATAGGATAAAAAAGAAATTAAAAATATACTCTCCGATTTTAATAAGTCGAAATAAATATATTAATGTTAAATAAATCTGAAAAAACATTTGTTAGTGGAATCACATTTGAATTAAATAAAATATTTGAGACTTTTACTTCAAAGTTCAAAGGAAATTAATCTTTTGAAAGTGTTTTGAATTTTCAGTGTGACAGTGTAACTTCATTACAGTATTGGCGCTGTGAATGCATGGAATCTATTTTTAGATATCAGAAATCGGATAACAAGTAACCTCTTTTTAGAAAGAGCTTTTAAACTTAACTTTTGAGATGTAAATTTTGAAAGGAGATGAGATTTGTGATCTAATTCTTAAAAAATAAAACTCTCGTTGGTGATTGAATGTTGAATTGACTTTCACTGTATGTAAATACTTTTATATTAGTTTAACTGCGCAGGCAGACGTTTATACAGTTTATACAGTACAGTAATATTGCTAGAATTAAGTTATGTATCCATTAAATTTATATATATATAAATAGAAAATATATGAAACCCCATTGGTTTAAAATCTATATATTTATACAGTCAATGTGTTTAAAGTTATTGACCACGCAATGATAACTTTTAAATATTTTAAATTTTACAATTTTAAGAATATCTTCTGGACAATGGGATACTCTCAACTCGAGAAGAAGAAGGCCACTGACACACAACCACCAGACCTATGACCTCAGCACCAACTGGTTGCTTATAAAAAAGATCGCTTGTTAATATTCTGGATATTGCTAGCCGAAGCCAAGCTAAGTTTCTACACATAAGTTAGAAAGTTAGAATTAACGCGAAGTTTATTATATGCAATGTCGTATCGCTCATCGAATTAGAAAAAGTATAATCATTTCTTGCATACCTATATTATTTAACATAAATTTATTATTTGTTAATGTATCTTATTCTAACCGCGATTACTTTTGTTTTGTCTATCTTGTAACTTTGTTGCATAATTAGTTTGTTTATGTTCTACATGGCTTCGCTCATGTCTTTGTATTAAACATGATATAAAATAAATCTTTTTCTTTTGAGAAAGAATATAAAATGTGTCACTTAAGTGAATTCATATTTGACGGGCTTGGCCTACTCGAAATAGAATGGTGAGAGCAGTTGCTATTATAAACAAATGCCACGTTTCAACAGCCAATCAGGTTACATACCCACGATGACATCGCTTGCAGGTATCCGATTGTAGGTAAATGTATCATTTAATTTCTCTGCGAAGTGCTTAAATAAAGTGTTTCTAATTGAAAAAGCTCTTTAATAAGCAGCTTTATGACAATCAATTGACAAAGAATTTTTTTAACCTTCCAAAAGGGGCTCTCATATGTGAGAGGTGAACTTCGTTTTGTTTTTATAATCTTTACAAAACGCGGGCCTTGGCAATTACTCCTCCTCCCTTTGATCTTCTCTAAGTTGTAGACTGAAATCCATTCTTCAGCTAAAAGGCATATGATATTGTTTAAAATTTATATATTTGCCCTCTAAACACATTTACTTTATTTATAAATCTTCAAAGAAATAACTATGACGATTCTAATGTCACACTAGCTGTATTAAATTTTCAATTATAATTCATGGAAAAAAATTCGGGTAAAATAATTGTACTCTATAGTAAAAACATTTCGAGTTTTTTTTTTAAAAAAACAACAACATGATCTTGGTAATAAAATCAAAATATAAGATAATCATTCATTTGGTAGTGGTTTCCGTTCATACGGTAAGAGTATATCGGAAATTGAGGCTTTAAATAACTAACTCGCAATTGGGCGCTACATTGAGAGAGAAACCACGAAAACCTCCTACGATTAGCTTGACGGCGAGGGGCCTCTAACCCATGATCTGTCTACCACTGAGGATATTTTGCGTCAGCACTGTGGTCGATATGAGCAGTGAGCAGAGTTCGTATCGACCAGTCATCGCTGGGATCCGAACCTGGATCATCTCATTGGGAGACGAGAGCTCGATTACTTGAGCCCCCACCGGCTTCATTTCAAATTTATCACTTAAAAAAAAAAAGATTTTTAAAAAAAGGAAAAAGATTTCAATTTAGGTCAAAAATTAAATAATAACTCATGGATTGGATGGATTGTGTAAAACTACAAATCGCATTATCGCTTACTTTTTCTTATTAAAAGTAATTCAATGTTTTTCCCTTTTGCTTTCTGTTGTTTGTTTGTTGTCTTGTTGTTTGAAGGGATTCAATATATAATTTGGACGCCACAAAACTATAAGAATTTCGGGTTCCATTTTTTTTTCGTACCCTGGTCTTTTAAAATTAACCCACTGACAGCACAATACCACCTACGTGATAGCACAACTTATAATATTTTTGCCATGTTTGTGAAACTGTATAAGCAAAATGAACAGCATGAATGGCTCTAGTAAATAAGTCAAAAAAGGAGGTATTTTAAATTTTATTTTCAGTTTTCGTAACCACCACTCAAAATTGTTAATTAATAATTTGAAAATATCAATTGATAACTTCAACAATTAAGTAAGTGGAATTAAAATGAAACAAGACTACTGAGTACACAAAAAAATCTGAAACTTCAATATACTGATTTCAAGCTTAAATAATCGAAATATTGGCTGGAAAATTGCTAAAAACGGAAACAAATATCTGTTTTTCTGTAGTCAAATTATTATTTTTTTCACAAATTCTCTAATTGTGAGTAATATTTGGAAAAAAAAAGTTATTACTATATTTTTTCCAAATATTAAAGTTATTAAATATTTGGAAAAAATATAGTAATAACTTTTGGTTTAAAAAAAGCATAATTTTGGTTAATAAAACCGAAATATATGGCGTCTTTCATTTGGAAATCAAAGGTTATTCAGGGTGGTCCGTCTTTCTTGGCGCACTGTTCACAAAGTTTGGTGAGAATCAGTTGAAAACTGCAGATTTCTTTAAAATACAAAAATTATGTTTCATAAGTATCGATAAGGTCTTGATAAGTTTTATGTTTTAAGAAACTCTCCCTTGTTTAAACGAGAAACGGTACAATGTTTAATCGGTATTTATAAAAGGCTATATGCTTTTAAAACTAAATCATACGATATTAACTTTAAAAAAAATAGCAATTTAATTTTATTTAATTTTTAAACGTGTAACATATGCAATGATAAACTATATCTAAATACCTTATTTAAATCTAATTTCATATGAATGAAAAAGTTTTTGTTTGTTTATTTATACTTATTAAACAAGAGATTTGAAACCAAATATGGCAACCCTAACTAAAGAAAGGTAAGAAAAGAGGTAGAAAAGAAAAGTGGAGTTCACGGTTGCCTGATTCAGAGAGTTATGATTTAAAGATGGTCAAATTGCAGGCAGCATAAAAAGTTAGAAGGCGAGTTGACAGGCGGCACACTTACGTTTTTCAGCTTTGGATTAACATGGGTGACAAAGTGCTTCTCTTACTCGTAAGTGCCATACTCTTTCATACAATTGTTACTAATATTTATTTCAACTTTAAAAAATAAATAAAGTACTTTTTATTCATTTTAAATTGTGTTAATATTGCTATAAAGTATTTTTAATTGTACCATTATGTAGTTGAAAAGTAAATAAATAATAAACAATTGCTATTATAAAATTTTTGATGAATTATAATTGCAATTAAATATAAATCTATAAACTTTAATATATTTTACCCAGCTGAACATTTTTTTTTAACTTTAAAAAAGAAATAAACATTTTTCATTAATTTTAAGTTATTCAAATTTAAAGTATTATTGTGTTATTATGTAGTTAAAAATAGATAAAACCTAATAAAACACGATGGCATCATAAAAGTATTTTTTATAAATTATAACTGTTAGAATTATAATCATATAAATTTAATATGGTATTTTTGCCTTATTGCTTGGAGATTTTAGCTTCAAAAGAAACTAAATAATTTAAATTAATTTTAAGTAATTTAAAATTGTGTTATAATGAAGTTGAGAATATATATAAAATAATAAAAACAATGTTATCCTTAAAATATATTTTCGTTAATTATAAATTAAATTAATTATAAATTAAATTGATTATAAATATATAAACTTTAATATGATTTCACCTAGCTCAATATTTATTTCAACTTTCCTAAAGAATAAATTACTTTTCATTAATTTTAAATAATTTAAAATATTGTCATAACATTATAAAGTTTATAGTAAACAATATAGAGAAAAGTATATAAACAACAAAATTTAATGTGATTGCAATAATTTCTTTTATGTGATTTTTTTAATAAATGCTTAAGCTTATAAAAAGTTTATTTTTTCTTGTTGAATTTTGTGTTAATTTTGGTTAAGGTAAAAGAAAAATTATATTTTATGGCACAGAGTAAATACTGTTTTAAGGCTTCTTTTCACGTTTTATCAAAAATTTATTTGGTTTGTTGATTTTAACAGCGGATTGTAAAAAATGTTTAGCTACAACGCAATAATTTGAAAATAATATTTTTTAAATTAATTTTTTGAGTGTCAAGAGACTTTTACAAATTGATTTCATAAATTTATTCTTTCGTAACAAATTTATATTAAAAAAATCTCTTAAAATTAAATTTTTTCGTAAAAAAAACAGTGTTTATTATTAATATATTATTATTATTATTTTACACTTATTGAATTTCATTTTAAGTTCACTGCAAAGTAATGTTTTATATATAAGTATTATTTTCTCGGAATTTTTCCTTTTTAGAATTGTGTAATTTATAAAAAGCAGAGATCATGTAGTATGTTTTTATTTAAAACTTGTGATTATTGTTCGTGTTACAGAGGAATTGAAAACTTAACTTTCATTTTCCCTCAAAATCAATTGTGCTGCTATACTTTTTATTATGTATTCATTTTACATTAAAATCCAGTTTATTTAAAAAAAAAACATTTATCAGTTATTTTTAAAAAATATATATAAATTATAAAATTATAGTAAATTATTCCAAAATCTATTTTACTAAATTAGCGAAATTGTTATTAGAATAAAATATAATGGAGTACTTTTAAAAAGACTTATTTCCATACTATGAAAAAAGAATTGTAAAGATTCACACATGTTTGTAGACTATTAGGAATTTTAGAGCGGTTTGGATCACATCATCTTTCAAATATGCCGGAACGTTAAAAAAGCCAAATCGAATCATAATATTGTACAATTTAGAACATCTTAAACTTGATCATTCAACACAATAATCATACAACACAAAGTTCAACCAAAATATACTGCAACTTTACGCCATATTGAGTTTATAACAAATTTGTTGATATTATGATTCAAACTACCAATATTATTAGTTTCACGTTCACTGCTAGAATTTTCATTCCAAAATTATGGTAAAATAACAGGCAGCAGTCTGCCCATCCAATTAACCGTAAAGTTTATGGTAAAGAACACTTTTTACCTTTACGGTTTCTTAACCATTTACAGCTAGCATGGTTTCAAAACCTTAAAAAGTAATTTTACTGCATATTAGAAGTAATTCAGAAGCTTTATGGTGCTGCCATCTATGCATGAAAGAGAGTAGAGTATTGTATTCTAATAGCCCAGGGTCACAAATTGGGGATTGCTTGACACTGGAAACTCTTCATGTGTTGAGGGAATATTGCGATATCAATGCCAGGACTCGAACTCCTGTTGATTGACAGATTAGCTCTCTCGATTATAATATGTACCCATCTGCATGGAACAAAGTGGCTTCATTAAGTGGGCCTAGTTGCTGCGATGAATTTGGTAGTTTAACCGTAATAGGTGAAAGCAGTTAATAAACGGTTTTCTTAAACGTTAACGCTTTGAATACCATCTTATTTACGGTTATTTGACTGTTTTAATTGAATATGGTGAAATAACAATTAAATAAATTGTCATTTAACCATTTTTTCCAAACTTTTTTTAACACTGTTTAGCAGAGTTTTTTGAAAGTGTAATTATTATAAATTTAAAGTTTATATCGAAAAAATTTCCGGCCATATTTAATTACAATTAAACGATACTATGGTTCAATTCGAACGAAAACTCGATTCAATTTAACACCTGAAATTAGCAATGTAGCACCCAGTTATGGTTCAATATTGAAACGAATTTTTGAGAATGTTCCGAAATCTCGTAAACATCGTCTTCTTAACTACTTCAAGATGGTAATATCTGAAATTTAAGATAATTTTTGAATAATTATTTAGCATAGTTTAATGATAAATAATGCTACTAACATTTACAGGTTGGAAGCGACTTGCATTACAAGTAGATTAACGGATAATTATTTAACACACTTTCATAATTCAAGTTCCTACTAATATTTACAAGTTAGAAGCATCTGAAATTATAAGACGATTTACGAATAATTACTTAACATAGTTTGATAGTAAATATTGTAATTAATATTTACAAAGTGAAAGCATCTTGAATTATAAGATGATTTACGAATGAAACTGAACATAATTTCAGAATCAATATTATTGCTTAATATTTACAACTTGAAAGCATTTGAAGTTGTAAGGAGATTTGCGAATATATATTTAACATAGTTTCATGATAAATATTATTAGTTAACGTTTCAATATAAAACTAGTATAATTATAAAACTGTAATTTTACCAAAAGCAAAATGCTCACTACATTAAAAATATCATGTAGTACCAAAGGTAAATATGGCACATTAAGTCTTTGACACGGTATTGTTGTCTATGGCATTATTGACTTTAAATGCTTCCTTTAATATGACAAACAAGTAAATGTTTACAAATGAGTTTAAAAAACATCAATGTATATAGATTTTTTTAATTTATTTGTTCGTTTAATATTTAAAAATAATTTAAATAAATACTTCACTTGCAACTTTTATGACTGTTTGTGTTTATCAAGTTTTCCCAAATCTTAGAAAAAATTAGTTTTTTTCTTTTGACGAAGGATTTAGGCAACAGGAGAGAAACATTGAGATGACAGGCTATAACATCCTTTTTACCTACACACTTTCATACCTAGTGATTAATTTCGTGCCTAAACTTATCACCTTCATAAATCATAACAATACAATTTTTTAATTCTTTACTCCTTCATCCACCTGTCTTTTCAATTACTCAGCGATTAGTCAAATTATGTAAGTTATTAACATTTTGATTAAGACTGACATGTTGAAATGCTAGCGAGAAATTTCTTCTCATTTTTTTTTTTTTTTTTTTTTTTTTTTTTTTTTTNTTTTTTTTTTTTTTTTGACGTGTTGAAGTTTTAAACGTTACCTATAAAAATAGAGCATCTTCCGGGCATAAATTTAAAAAAAAGAATGGATAATTGCTTTCGACTTCAATCAGGAGATACAATTTCCTGTCGCCCTTGTTTTTTTAAATCATTTGCCTTTGTTTTTTCAGAAAAAAAAGTATAATCTTCGTATAACGTTATTTATTTATTTTTTTTTAATTTTGCAGTTTTTTTTTCATTTGAAAACTCGTATTACAATTTTTTTTCTGTACTTCATCTATACGTTTTTTTTCCAAACATTATTGACCATAAAATTGAATGTCTTTAACAATTTGTTTGTGCACATTCTGTTTTAAAGTATACTCCAAACCCTGGAAATCTTAAAGTAAAAATAAATTAATCGCACTAAAGAAGAATTCTAGTAAAATTACCTTATAGTATGGTAATCACATATCTGTTAAAAAAAATGCAAAATTCTAGTCGATAGAACCAAATTATGCGATGTTTAAACCATTATTGTCCTAATTTTTCCGTTTATATGGTAACGATTTACCGGAAATTCCAGTTTTTAAAACTTAAAAGTAAATTTAACCGAATAAATGGCTTATATACCATGCTCTAATGTATCATGATAAAATTCCCCAATTTTACCAAATTTTATCACATATTATTAAGCCATATTTTATGGTTAATTTTACAAAAATCCTAAATCAAAGCACTACGGTAAAAATTATCGAGCTTTTTGGTGTTCCTTTAGAGCAAGAAACATGATAAATTTAACCATATCTTGGGAGTTTGGGGATTACTTTATTTTCTACTTCATTCATCATTTAATTATTTTTCAAAATGTAGAATATGAATTTTTGTTAAAAATTTGCATTCATGAAGAAAAATATTGTGAATTAAATTGATTTTCTACAAATTTACTAAATTTTATCACACATTATAAGCCATATTTCGTTGCTAATTTTACCCAAATTAACTACCGAAGCGCTTCGGTAAAAATTATTGAGCTTTTTGTTGTTCCCGAAAAGCAAGAAACAGGATAAATTTTACCTTATCTTGGGAGTTTTGACCATGCTTTATTTTCTCAGTGTGGATTACTCATTATTTAATTAATTTTCAAACTGTAGGACATGAATTTTTTGTTTAAAATTTACATTGATAAAAAATAGCGTCGTGAATCAAACTGATTTTCTTTGAAATTCATGATTACGCATTATTTAATTATTTATCAAAATGTA